TGTGGTTCATCTTGCAAGGGTACAAGTGAATCTTTCTATGAGTAGAATATGAATGTTTTGACATAATGACTAAGAGGGTTACATGAGGGCTATGTTAACCAGTTTGATGGAAATGTCATGGATTGTGTGTGAAAACACCACACTGTGCCCCCAAAGTGCATCAATGTACACAGTTACCATTCAATAAAAAAAAAAAGAAAAATTATTTCCAACAATGCATTATATTTTACTTCTTAATTTTTTCCTTCTTCATATCAGTAAAATTCTATCAAAATGGTAAAAAAAAAAAAAAGCTACTATGGCTCATGGTAGAGCTAGCAGGTAACTTTGAGGTAACCATATTTTGCAGTAGTTTTAAACATAGGTGTCATAAGACTGCATACAAATACCGTATTATAAATACTTTTTATATATTTCTCATAAGATGTTGTAGGTCAAAGGTTAGTTAATAATCCTTTCTACTTCTGCATGAGATTCTGACCTTCAGTTGACTTTCTAGCTCATTTTGCCTGGAAGCCTATAGGTAATCTCTTTGCTTGGGTTTTCCAGATAACAGATTTAGAAATGGAAATTTGCATGTGGGAAGTTTGTTGGGTTCTTTACTTGGGATTAGCACCTGTAGAGAAGTGAACAACAACAACAAAAAAATAGAATTCAGCCGGAGCTGAGCTGTAATAAAGTCACAACAAAGGCCTCAATGAACCCCAGGTGACCTCTAGACCTGGGGTGACTTTTCAGAGATGTCCTGCTTTCACCAAGAGTCCAGTGGTGGGATTATTCCCTTAAGCAATAGTAGGTCTCTTTGGGAAAGGGCAATTCCTAGAGAGTGTCTCAGCTAAGGCAGGCCCTCAGCTCAGGAGATGAGTGCCATATAAATGGAAGGATTCTAGGCAGCACACCCCATAGCAGCCACTCTTGGTGGATATTGCAGGGCAACTCTGCTTATGGTAGAAACTGACCCCTAATTGGTAAAAGGCATCAGTATTAGTAGGAACTAGAATGGGCTATAAATACCACAGCTTTGATCTTCCCCGAGAGGAGTGATGCTTGCAACTGGACACGTCTCTCATGGGAAGAGCCCTGCGTGCTGTGCCTATGGAGCTGTTGCAGGAGGCATTGGCCTCTGTGGGGTATAATCATTTTAAGCCTGGCTAACCCCTACATTTGCCCAAGGTGAGTCTGATTCCCTCAACCCTAAATTAACATTCTGTGGACGAAAGGTAACTCCTGGGAGGCTGTGTGGGCTGCTGTCAGAACTAACACGAGCTCCCACTAGAAAGGAATGTTTGGGGCTGCTGTGTTGGCACTCTTCCCCTCCCACTCTATGTCTTTTTGAGTAGATGGACAACTAGACAAACTCATAGTCCTGTGGGTTGGACAGTTTAGTTGAGCCTATAAAATACCCCCTTGTGAATATCATAGACCCTTTTTTTAATGTTTTCACTTTTTAGAATGTTTAGCTTTAAACTCTAAAACTAAAGAATAGCTTGATGACCTTAGAGTCAGGCTGAAACTTGAGGTTTCTCTTTCCTACTGCTGATAGGCTATTCTTAACAGATACTGTTCCCATGGACTTTGGAGGAAAAGACACAGCTATACTACTAATCTCTGGAAACAGTAGTCTTTTTTTTTAACAGGAGAAACAGTTGTTGGTTCATAGCTGTCCTTTAGTCATTTGGGGCCACTTGGACCTGGCTAGCAATTTCCCTCATGTTTTGTGAGTCACAAAGCTTTGCTCATTCTTCCTTTATGATTCATTCTATCCCTTCCTTTCTGTTCACTGTGCTACCACCCTGAGGAATATGGTTTACTCAACGTGTCCTCTGCCTTTAGCCTTTGCCTAATCTGAGCTGTATTACCTAGATGATCTCAGACAGAATTCCATGATAGAGGTTTGCCTAGGGTTTTCAGACTGTGAATATGTAATACAGATTGGTCTGCACAAGGTCCCTGGGAATGGTGACAGGAAAGACTACATCAGTGGGCTTAGAGAAGATGTTGGCTAAAGCATTCTGGTTGTTTTGTAGGCAAAGGGAGCCATTTCAGTAAATGACATTAGCAGGAGAGTGGCTTGTTCAGAAAGACTTTGATCTGGCAGCACAGTAAAGGGAAAGACTAGAAGAAATGAGACTAGTTAGGAGTCTGTCAAGAGAGAACATAAACTGAGAGGGTAATGAAAAGACCGAGACAGATGGGTCCCCACAGCACAGAGGAAGAATTAGTGATTGAGAGAAGATGGCAGAGGGAGCCTCACTGAGGTCAAGAAGTGTGGATGGCTAGTGGACCCATTGGCCTTGGTGCCAAGACAGTCCAACAGGAATAGAAAAAGTAATACTCATCACACACTGCTGGTTCTTAATGCTCCTGGAAACTTATTAAAAGGATCATGGCATATTTCTTATCACCCCTCCTCTTCCACTTCCAGCAGAAAGCTTAATGTAGACAGAGTAATCGCATATATATTTTTATCCTGTCCACATATAGTATATGTAGGACCATCACAGGTATTTAGCATGATTAGTTCTGCCAACTATGAGTAGGTGAAAACTCTGTTAACTTTCTCTTTTTTTGTTTTTACATTTCTTTCATTGTAAAATATAAGTAGGGTGACCAGGTGTCCAGGTTTCTGCAGGCCAGTCTCAGTTTAGACTTGTTCTCCCAGTACTGTTACTGATAATATCTTTCTTTACTCTCAAAAGTGTACACAAGAGATTCTATATGGGCACCCTACATATATCTACAGAAAAGGACTAAATGTGTTTGGTCAGTTTAAAGAATAACTGTAAAGAACACACTTGTGTAACTACCATCCTAGTTAAGAAATGGGACACTGGCAGCCACTACAAGTCTATTTGCTGCTCACAAGTTCACCTTCCTTCCTCAGAATTAGCTGTGATCCTCATGTTTATCATGTTTTCCTATTTTTAAAACAATGAAAGCTAAATTATGAAAGCCTGATATCTCTGTAAGAGTTTCCTTCCAATCATTTTATTCATTGTATATATTTTAGGTAAGAGCAGTTTCATAATAGTAATAGATATCTTTTATAGCATGTTTGTGTTCTAGTATATGACTACAAGGTTGTTGGTAATCAGCCTAATGATAAATGTTGTATTTTCATTATTCATTTATTACACTAAGATTTGACAAGAACAAGACACTGCTGCTCTTGGCCTCAAGAATGTGATAATCTTAGTAGCAGTCACAACACAGAGCCTTCCTTGCGGTAGAGGGAGCATGCATAGAATGTTAGAGGACATTGCCTCACCCCTGGGAGTAAGAGGGAGCCCTTCCCAGAAGAGCTGAGATCTCATTTGACTACTGAAGACAAGTACAGATTATTTGAGGTGAAGGTGGTGTGGGAAGTGAGACAAAGCACAGAGTTCACTTTCCTGACAAATGAAATGATCCCTGGACAGAAAAAGTATGGCACAGTTTTATTACTGCACCTTGCTCCAGGCTCCTGGAGCACAGACAGTGCTCTCCGTGGTCTCTGAGAGTAGAGGTATTTTGCAGGGCCATGGTGAAGGAGTTCAGGAGAAAGAACATAGCTAGATAGATAGTGAAGGGCCTTGAATATCATGTTGATGAGCTCAAACTTCATCTGGAAGGCAATGAGAAAACTTTGGTGGGTTCTAAGCAGGAAGTGAGTGACTTGGCAACATAATCATATTTGCATTTTTGAAAGGTTGTTCTCACTACAGAATTAGAACATGTCAATCCTAGAGGCAGGAAACTGGCTAGAGATTGTTGCAGCCATCCACGTGTGAGATGATGATGGTGGCTTGAACTAACCCAAATGAAATGAAAATAGAGGGAAGTAGATGGATTTAAGAGACAGTTGGTGGCAGAATCAGTAAGATTTAAAAGATTGATTGTGGGAGGAATTTGAGGAGGAGAGAGAAAAAAGACGATTCTCAGATTTCATCTAGACATGAAGAACATTTCTAGAAATGACACAGAGTTATATTGGTTGAGTTTGAAGTGTCTATGGAGGACATGACCATTAGCAGTGGCTTTGTGGAGAGATTTAGGGCAGAGAGAGACATTAGGGAACAGTAGCTTTTAGATGGCAGATAAAGCTGTGCAGATGAACCTTAATAAGTCACTACAAAATTTCTGAAGTGAAAAAAGTATCCTATATTCATGACATTCTTAGGAAATAAGTCTTTTAGTGTTAACATTTCTAAGAAATACTTGTACAGAAGATTTTCATAATCTGTTATAGTTCTTAGCAGTTTGCTTTTTCATCAGTATTACTTAGATTTTTAATTATTTTTGTTTTTTTTTTACATTATCCAGCTTTTGGCTTTAATGATGTCACCTATAAAAATAAATACAGAAAAATGAAGTTATTATAGTAATACATTTATTACATTAAGTAATACATTTATTTAGGATTTAGCAAATCAGGAAAAACATACGAACACCCAGGTTTATATACTTAGGTTTTTCCCAGTTTTGGAAATGCAATATGTATAAAAAGTACTTTTAGAAAAAATATGTATATTTTTAATAATTTAAATAGAAAATACTTTTTTGACTTTCTTCTTATTTTCAGCTACAGAGACACTTACAATCTTATAAACCAAATAATTTAGATTATATATGGTAAATATTTTCATATCTACATATAAGAATATAAATAAATAATTTTAGTATTACATTATTTTATCTCAAGACCACTATAAGTTTCTGCTATATGATTCTAATATATTTACATGTATTTTAATATCTCGGGTATACCTAGAATGTTTCTTCTTAACACTGTTCGTTTTGAATATTTTGCTTCAGAAGATTATACTGGCAGTTAAGCTCAGCAGCATTTTGCTAATAGTTTAATAATTTAGTCTCTAATTTTAATCTTCAGTGTAGTTATTTTGTATTGCTTTTATTTTGAATGAGCTATAACCATCTTAGGCTATGTATACAAGCATATAGTTTAATTGTTGATTACTATGATAATAATTGGATACAATATTTGTTTTATTTATAGGAAAATGGTTCTCCTGAAGAACATGCAGTCTATGTTTGGGACCATTTTATAGCCCAGTCTGCAGCTGAGAATGTATTTTTTGTTGCTCACAGCTATGGAGGACTTGCTTTTGTTGAACTGGTAAGTGCACATTTAATTCTATTTTTAATTCTCAGTCTCCTTATAGATTTATCCCCTCTTCTCCCTTTTTTCTTGGTATCATTACTTTAAGTTATTTTATAAAGGATGAAAATAAAATATTTTGAATAAATAATTTTATTATGTTTGCAAAGAGTATACTCATTTATTTTACAGTGACAGAGCTTCTCAGTGCTCACCAGAAGGCTGTTTGCCTGTTCTTTATTTACATATTGTTTTTTAATTTCTACATTACAGTGCCAGTTTCTACATATTTCATGATATTTATATTTCCTGCTTTATGTGTAACCATTGAAGCTTACATTATCTGGAAAGTGTTTAAAATTTCAAGAGACCTTTTGAATGTTTAGGAATACTGTAATAATTTTAAACTATTATTTCTACTAGATAGTTCTTGATATTAAAAGTATCAGAAAGCCTCCATTGATCTGCTTTTCACTAGAATGCATTGGTTAGCCATAAAAATCTTTGCATTTGGAAATAATCTGATTTTTAAAGTTAACATAATGTGTACATAATAGAAAAAATAAACACATTTTTTGATGTTGTCGTTTTTATATGCAGAATTACAAGAATCACAATCTTGTGCCAGTATGGTTCATATGATACAGTCAATCCTAAAAATCCACTAATGAAGAATTCATGCCTCCCTGTCCATAATGCGTGGGTCACAGGAAGGTACCAATGCTACAGTAAAATGATTAACTTGATAAAAGTACAATTGATAATTTTAAATCTGAATAGATCTAAGTGGATATTAAAAGCAGGCACAACATTGATTGTCTGTTTTTTATGCTTCTAGACTTTGGTCTGAATTTCTCTTTGTCATGGAAATTAAATATGGTTTTATGGTCTTTCAGCCTCCCTTTTTGCTTACCCACATGATTTAGATACAAAACTAGTGGTGACCCCTGACACCTGAAGGATACTTTAATTGACCTAAATCTACAAATACTTACTGGTACTCTCTTAAGGTCAATAAATAAGTTAATTCATTTATCTCCTAAATTGATTTCAGTTTTAGGCATTATTTTCAAGTACTTTTAACTCTGCTGAATTTATTGATTTATTTTGATATATATCATGGGGATCTTAAGATAGCTCTTCAACACACTAGTATGATGTACTTTTTAAAATACAAATGTCTTTTAAATAATTTTCTTCAATCCTTACAAATATAGATATATAGCTAGATATGTATATATATACACATATATCTCCATAGATATAGTTATATATAGCTTATTTTTTCTTTGTAAGCTGCTAAATTACTTAAGACATGAAATTTCTTGACTTGTAGAGTAACTTAAAATATGTCTGAAATCCTGCAAGGCTAATCAAATTTTAGAGTTCTGTAAAGCATATACTCCCATTTTTTTTACTTTAAGACATTTTATAAAAAACCATGGACAACATTGGAGTTTAAGTGTATTTTGGACAGTTTTAAAAATGAACTTAAGATCCCAGGGTTAGCGGATGACCAGTGTGTCGGTCCTATTTTGCCTGTCCTTCTTGTCACACACTGGTGAATATTTCTCTACTTTTGTTCCACTTTAATATAAAGCACACAGATGTTTCAGAACAAGACTTGACTTCTGACCTTGAGGCTATTAGGGTCAGGGTCCTCAGGGCCTGTGAAATTATCACAAGCTGAGCTAAAGTTTTTCTCCATCACAGGAAGTAACCAGTAAGTAAGAAGTTAAAAAGGAGCTTTGTCAGAGAGACAAGATGGTCTCAGTAAGGGTCATCTTCTGTAGTCTGCTGTCTCTGCAGGGGGCGCGTGCGTGGGAGGAGGAATAGAATATAACCACTGGCACATCACATATCTGTCAGGCGGCACCAGGGCTGAGAAGTCTATTTAATGTAATATATGTAGTTGAGATTTTAAAATATTAATGGTGATTAATCCAACCTCTTCCATTTTCTACTTTTTGTGAAGTAAGTTTGATTGAGATATGTAATGGAAGTGTACAGCTAGGAACAAATGAAGAAAGGGGGCTCATAAAATGGATTCCTGTAAGCAAATAACAATGCACATGGATGAATTTTACATTAAGTTTTGACAAATTTGATAAATACAATATTTAATTTTAGAATATTTCTATTTCAAGAGGTTTTTTAAAAGATAGCGTTTTATATTAAAGAAACAATAAATATTGTTTCCTATGTTCACCAGTATTCTAAGGGGAAAAAGTCCTGGTATTTAAAATATTGGCAAACATTCTCTCAGGATTTTTAACATAAGTATTATATATGAAATTGTTTTACATAGATTCATAATTTAGATATCAGCCTTTCAAGAAAGTGAATTGTGGATATATAAATCTTAAATTATAGTTTAGTTTCTTGTCTTGGTAGCACACTATATACATCAAATATTAAATCCTTTGGATTCAGTAAATTTTCAGTGAATTGTAAAATTTTGCTCCTAAAGACTCAACACACACACATTTCTTAGGAAACAGTCTTAGTTTATAGCATCATGTTTGAATGCATAGAAAATTGTTTTTCTACCACTATTATACGTGTTCAAATTCTTCTTTAGGTCATAAATTATAAGAAAATTTATGTTAAATGTAAACTTGCTAGCAAGTATAGTTTCACTAGTAAATGCAATTACTTAATAGTTCTCATTATCTGAATGACAGGTATCAGACGAAAAGTACCTTGCCATTTATTAAAATTGTATGTTATTGTAGTTTAAAATGAAACTACAAATGTAATAGGTATATGAAGAGAAATTACTTTTAAACTTAGAGCACAAAATAGTTGTAGAGCTTTAATATTTAGCAGATTGTTTATGAAAACAGACCATAATTTATAATATATCCTATCTTAAAAGTATTGAATTTCTCCTGAAGAATATCTTCTAGTCAGATTTCTTTTCAAAACTAGTGTTCATTTTATGGTCGTAAATCTCAGAAGTTAACCAGATCTAACTCTGTAAAAAGAGTAGTATATACTTCAGTATCATAAGGAGAAAAGTAATATTCAAAGCATTCTTTTCACTGCTTTTACTCTCATTGTGTGGTAACAACTCAAATTTCCAATTCTCTAAACTTCCTATATTCCTAGTAAAAATAGATATCGATAAGACAACACTGGTATCAATTCCAGGATTCAGTCATTAGAGACAAAAAGCAAGTACTATTTATCTTATGAATTCATAGTGAATTTTCAAAGTTAACATTTCTGCCCGTGTTATCTTTTCTCTGAATTTAAAATAATATGTGACATTGCAGTTATAAAACTATCATTTACAAAGCCTTAACTTGCTGTCTTAGGAAGTTATTTTTACTTAATAGAATTAGTAATCATAATTAGAATGCACTTACCGAATTCCCTTGGAAAGACATCTACAACTAATGCACTTACTTTTGCTTTATAGAAGTTGTTAAAAATTTGGTTCATTTTTTTGAAAATTGACTGTCATTGAAAAACAATGCAGTTTTTGACCTTTTTCATCATCTCTTTCTGCAGCCACTTTGATGAAGCGATCCCATTGCTTCCATCGTTGGCCATTTCCGAGTGTTTGGCTCTTCTCTTGCAGGTGATCGGTTTGGCCAAATCCAGTAACCTTAAAAAGATTTTTTTTTCATTTGCAAATGAGCAGGCCTTCCTTGTCAATGCCCACTTCCTGATCCCAGCACAACTTGCCTGCCCTGTTTGCAGTGCTCAATAAATCAGTGTACATTGATGCTTCTTCCTTCAGCCCAATATGAGAGTGTTCATATTTTTTATCAAACATGAATAATTTTAATAAGCATTTTTCATTAGTTTACTGAGTCATCTCAGCTGATATAAAATTAGTATTTTTCTTATTACTTTCATTTACTTTTCCATGTTATTAGTGGCATGTTCACAACCACTATTAAAAACATCCCTTAGAAATGTGTGAAAACAGCTCCTTTTGAAAGTGTATCTCTGCCCACATTTGATTTTAGTCTCTCCATGCTTGTCAGCACTTGATTGGCACCTCACTTGCATGTGAATTAAGGAATGAAGGCACTCTGTTTTCCTGCCATTGTTACATGCTGGGCTCCCTGGCCTCCAGGCGGCATAAGCTGCCCTTCAGCAGCTGATAGCGTACTACTTTTTGGACATAGCTGTATGAGGACACTCAACCTCACTCTACTCTCCATAGATCTTTTTAAATTGCTTAGAGCATGATTTGGATTTACGCTAAAGAAAAACTGGAATGGAACTAAAATAACTAATTTTTACCATTAGTGATATTAGCCAACCTTAAAGAAGTATCATTTACATTTTGTTTGTGAAGAACAAAGTAAATTGATGATTGGTAGGATATCTGCACAACGTGATCAATGAGACTAGCTGAAAGTTGGGCTGCGAGAAGGGAGGCAAGAAGAAGAAAAATCAAGTCATAATAAACTAATTTAGTAAAAATAAATTGTCATTTGTCACATACCTACAAAGTAGCATATTACTTAGGAATAGTTTTGTTTTAAAGTGATTTTTTTATCTCCAAGCCATGTTTTACCTAAATAATCCAGAAACAACTAGAAGGTAAAAATCCAATATTTCTCTTATTTCTTTCAAGATGGAAAACCCCATATATTACAACAACATGAGTACTTTTAAACATTTGCACAGTTAGTTGACAAATTGAGTTTAAGCCTTAACAGTAACTGTTTTCTAAACATTAATTCTCCCTACTCTCCATTTAAATATTGACTAATTTCAGAATTCTGCCTAATCGTGTCTTTCACATGATTAGACAGTTTTATCCTTGTAAGTCTCTCACAATCTCCTCTCCGCTGGTGTCCCAGCTCTCAGTCGGACTAAATGATTGCATCTCTGTGACTCCTAATAGTTTTTCGAGTAAATTAGGAAAATAAAGTGTACAATTCAGTGGATTTAAGCATATTTATAGAGTTGTGAAACTATCACTACTAGCAAATTTTAGAACATTTTCATCACCTCAAAAGAAATCTCATACCCAGGTAGGGCCCTGGCCCCAT